TCCTAGAAGACCTTAGGATGAGGGCAAGGCTTGGAGCCCCCTTGGAACCGAACAACGTTTCCTCGGCACAGCAGGTAGAAGCAGGACACCCTCTGCACTGCATCTCTTGGATGCATCAAATGCATCCTTCTTGCAATGCTTTTTCTGCATCAGGGCTTTACTACCCATTCTGCTGCAGCTGGGTATAATCAATGCAGATTAAGAGTTCATGGAAAGTCGGAGAAACAGAGCAACAGCTGTTTCCTCGCTCAGCACTCACTGCACATTGTTGTTGACAGTGCAAGGATCCACCTGGAAAGGGAAAGGGAGAAGCAATTTAGATGTCTGCTAAAAAAAAAAAAAAGATTAAGGCAAGCCCATTAAACCCAACTGAGACTCACCCCAACAGCAAGAAAAGCTAGTTTGCTCTAAGCTTACTTCAAAGCTAAAGCTCCAGATCCTATCAGAGCAGCGTTGGAAGTGGCAGAGAGGCTTATGATTACTCCTGCCTTCCCTACTCCTGACCTGCTCATGGAAGTTATGTAGGAGTCTAAGCTGCCAGGGCACTGGTACGAATTAGAAGCCCACCTCCCCAGCAAGAAAAAAAAACCCTAATGCTCCTTTTCTCCATGGTTCTCCCTGCTCAGGTTGCCTTCAGCACCAGAAACTCAGCCTCACTCACCTCAGTGTAAGTAGGTGGAGGCATGAACTTGAACTCAGGAGCATACATGAAGATGGGGCTGTCAAAGGAACTGTCTAGATCATCCAAAAGGGGAGTGGTGGGGCTCTCCAGGCGGTGATCTTCAGGCACAATGTCCAGGTAGCATGGGGGTGCTGGAAGAGGAGGAGACATTTGTGAGCTGTGATACAAATTTCAGCTTTATTCCTACTACAAATGAACCAATCCAACCTCTCCCCCCACCCCTAGGCTTTGTCTTGAATCCCTGCTATGCAACACCATAACTGTTCCTACCATGGTCTTCCTGGAAGGTTGGACCAGCCACCCTCTGCCCTTCTTTGCCAAACAACAGATGTTTCCCTGAACAGCACCCAGCTCACCTTCTGGAGCATCAGGGAGGTTCAGGTCCACCCAGCTCATTTCAGAGCTCGCCTGACTGGCCATGCTGGAACTGCGGCTGCCAATCCCAGATCTGCTGCCAATGACAAGAGGCAGTTCCAGGATGATCTTCTTGGAGCCAGGAACACTCACATAGATCTGCAAAAATGAGATGAAGAGATGGTTAGGAATGACATCACCCTTCCTCTGTTGCATTAAAGCCTATATAAGATTCTTAATGGAAAGGTAGTGACATGGGATTACACTAAATTTACAGTTTAGCCATGTCTGTTCCACTGGCTTGAGACCACTGCAGGTATCAAAGCCCTGAAAGAAGCCCCAGTAAGCAAATCTGAGGGAGGAGAGGGGCTCCTGGCAGGACAACTGCACATGTGATATTCCCCGATGATGGGCCTGGTGTGGAACAGAGATCCTTCAGTACCCATGACCCTTACCTGCAGGAAGTACTCCACACGCAAGATGTTGCAGCCCAGGATGGAGGGTTTGATCTTCTTGACACGGATTGTTTTGCCCCGCCAGGTGTCAGACATGCCCGAGATGATGTGGTTGCCACGCACACAGGAGAGTTTCTGGATGAAAACTTTGGTCTCGCCATTCGCTAGGTAGGTGTGCTTGGAAATGATGGCTGCCTTGGGTACCACTATGCGGGAGCATGTGTTCTCAAAGTCTGCATTGATGCAGATTTCATCCCCTGAAAGAAGACAGGATTGTTTAGTTACAGGGAAGGTCTTACCCACAGTGGCGATGATTCTCTTACAGCTTATTCATGGCCAAGTCTATACTGGTTAAAGCAGAGATGCCCAATCTAGTTGGGAAGTTTCTCTGATTCACAGCCCACTTCCCTTGCTCAACAGTATCACAGGGTTCAACATCATGCCCTCCTCCTCCCCTCTTGCTCAGATCAATGCTCTTTTCAAGCATTGTCCCATTCAGCCCCCTCATCTCCCAGTCCTCCTGGAAGCCAGGCTCACCTTCGCAGAACCCCTTCCTGTCGATCCTGGCACTGACAGACACATGGCCATCAGGAAAGAACATGCAGGACACCTTCTTCTCCTTCTTGGCAGAGACGGGAGACTGGAAAAGATTCAGAAGGATCTGGTTACACAAATGTAGACAGCCTGTTGCGTGTCCTATTCTATCCTGTCCATATCCTGCCAGACTGCTGCCATATCATTTTGTATTCCATGCAGTTTAATTTGCATCTCCAGGTAGATTCCAGTGTCCTGCTTCATGGACGCTCACCGATGTACATAGCTCAAAAGAAAGGTAACCCATCTCAAACAACTAACCTAGACTTCCTTTAGGGCTCTGAGCAATACAGAGCACTCATCTCCTTAGGAGACAATACTTAATCTGCCCTGGAACTGTAAAACTTACATAACATAGCAAATATCCCTCTGAACCACCCCTAGCAAACAGCCCCACCATTGCCCCAACACCACCCAAGAACTTGACAATTACCAGTAGATCTGGAGTGTTGATGTCAACAGGGTCCATGACCTCAAAATGCTTCTTTGTCTCCTGAGGTGGGACTGATGGGCGCTCCAAGAAAGCCTTCACCCAGTAATCTACACAGCCGTACTTCCCTTTGAAGGTAGTACCAAGGGGTCTGCAATACAAGAGGAGCTCATTAAAAAACACACACACACACACACACAAATAACCACCAAGGGAATTTTGTCACAAGGCTAGCATTTCTGATGATGTGTTTGATCAATACCTACCCTTGAGGAAGCTCAAATCCAAACTTGTATTCATATTTGTTCCCAGGTCTCAAGATCACAGAGCCATCCTCATCTGTAAAGCGGAAAAAGAGAGAGGAAGTTAAAAACCTCAAGCCTTGCTGCATGTTCTCAGCTTTGTCATAACGTGTTGTTTCAGCTGAAACAATACAAGTGCAAAAGTTTGCTGTGCTGGATATAACCTATGCTGTTACTTAGAAACGTCCTGAAAAGCTTCTGCTATATATTGCCATTGCAATTTTTTCATGCTTCTTAAACATCCTCTGAAGTAAGGACTCAGAACTGGCCTCTGCATCCTCCCTCCCACCAAATAATCCACTGCAAATCTCTATCTGAGCCAATAAAGAAGTTGGAAAACCACCCAAGGCATTTCACATCATCCCTGGTCTTCCCTGTCACTCTTACACAGACAACCCTGCCAAGCAGGGAAGCTGTGCCTTCTTCCAACCTGCCTCCGGGGTGTGTGATTTCCTGGTTCTCTGGCACAGGGAGTTACAGCGCCCGTCACTCCCTGTGCCAAGAGGAGAGAAGCAAGTGGCTCCCCAGCTGTACCACCTGTCCTGCATACTGTACTCAGACTGTAATTATATCGCCTCTCAATGCAGCTCAGGAAGCTTGTTTGCAATACAGCCACCCTGCCAATAATGCTTACTCCCATCCTTTGCGGATGCAACTCCTGCTGCATCAACCTCTTTAAGGTCTTCACTGCCAGCTGCAATCTCCCAATTGTCACTGCACCCCCCAAGTTGTGTTACTCCTCCGTCTCAAACTTTAGACACGCTTCCTACACCAGACCAACTAACGCTCTCTGCTAGTTTATCCAGGTCCAAATGAATCATTAAAACACTTCTAGGACCTTTTCGCCAGGATGTAACCACAAGACTTCAAAATAGCAGCTCTTTTTTTACTCTGGTAACAGAGCCAAGTGCCAAAAGCAACCATAGATAAAGCCCTACTTGGCTGCCGAGTATCCTATCGTGTGAAAACACCTCCAATATTACTCAATCCAGCCTTTCATTTTTGATCCAACCCTCCTTTAAAAGCATTTTGGGGCAAAAAAAGAGGCCAGGAAGTTGGCTTTTTTGGGGCAGAAGAGCCCTATGATTTAGGTCACGTTATTTAGGTCTCGGGTTCTCACCAGTGGGCTTGTCATCCAGGGTCAGGACCTCGTTGTAGCGGAGGTACTCCATCTCCTGCTTGCGGTGGTGGGGGCCCTTGGCCCAGTTGACCTTGGCCACGCCACAGGCCAACACCTTCACAGCCGTGACTCGGGTGACGTCGGTCACTTCCACCACCACACGGCCAGCCACCTTCTCTCCACTGAAGTAGACCTTGTCCGGCTCGCTGAAAACCAGCTCGAAAGTCTTGATCTTCTTGAACATCACCATGGTGGCAGGAAAGTTGGTTTGGTTTAGACAGAAATAGGGAGAGGAAGGGCGTTAAGGCTCAACTGCAATGGCCAAAATAAAGGGGGAAAAAAACCCCAAAGGCCTGGGGTTTGGAATTGAATGCTATCAAAAATCGTGCAGAAAAAGATAAAAGAAATTTTTTTTTGAATTTCTGGCTGAAAAATTAAGCCCTTTTTTTCAGTTTTTTGGCCCGGCGCTGGAATCCAAGCGAAGGGAGCACGGATGCCGGCTGTAGTATTTTGGCTGCAGCTCAGCAGTAGAGACGTCCGCTCTGCTCGGAACCCGCCAGGCTTTAAGCCAAGGCAAGCCGGATGCGGCGCTTTTATAGTCTTGACCGCCCCCCCCAGCAGCCCCGCCCTCGGTTGTTGATCACCTCCATGCCACGCTGAGGGCGCGTGGAAGCGTGCTGCTCGCGTGATCAGCGCTCCCATTGGCTGCCTCTGCCTTGTTTACGTCCTCGCCGGCCAATCCGCGCGCCGGCCACGGAGCGTGGACAGTGTGTGAAGAGATGCAGGGTTCTGAAGGGGGTGGGGTGACGCGCGGAGTGACTAAGCGGGGGGGCAATGAGAGGCGAGCCTGGGAGGCCCGGGGAGCCAATGAGGTTCCTGGACTGTGAAGGGGATTTTTTTTTTTTTTTTTTTTTTTTTTTTTTTTTTTTTTTTTTTCTTTCCCCAAAGG